CACTTTCAGCTCTAGAAACAGGAAGCGTCTTTTTAATAGACTGCTAAAACATTGCTTCACAGAGTAGCAATTTTTTGCACCTCTATTTAGTGAGGTGGTCACCCTTAGGGGAACCTCAGAGAATGAAAGATTGAGGCAAACATTGAATTAATTGCTTGAGAATAAAACCCTTGCAGGCACACACAGCATGACTGGGAATGCCACCTCTGCTTTGGCTGTGACGCCCTCTGATGTCCAGTGGACATGGTGACCCACCTAGGTTGCAGTCTGGTCCAGCACTGCTGTCCTCAAGGACCCTTGGAGCACCCCTTGCCCCTGGTGCCACCACACATATGAATGTACGTGGCAGGTATTTTCTTCTCCATGGAAAGATGATCTCCTAGAGGCAGAGTCCAGCACTCTGGGAGATCCAGTGCTGAAGATGATAAACATTATCTTTTCTTCATAGAGGGGGGTTGAAGTTTCTGGGACACAGAAGGCTTTCTGGCTTTGTCAAGCTGGTCTTGAGAGATGAAACAGGCGCCCTCTGCCATGTGCTGAAAGTCACTTTTACCAAGTTTTCCATTTTTCTTTCTTTTTGATGGTGAGAGATTGAGAAGAGAGAGAAAGAAAAAAAAAATACCACTCCCACCAAATCGCAAAAAGTTTGTGAGTCTAAGCTGTGACTTGTCCCTCTGGGGAGTGGGTGAGGGAGCTGGTGCTGCCCATGTCTGGTTTGTGCTTGTTGAGGATGGTAGAAAGCCTGGGACTTTTACCTTTCTTGTGAGTTACCAAGTTGGCTTGTCTCGGTTTCATAGATGCTGGCAGAAGGCACGAGACTCCTGGGTCAGAGATTGAGGATATCATTACTTAAAGTATAGCAATAAGTGTGAGAGCCATATTCTCACCAGCTCCCCATCCCTGCAGGGCCCATGGGGTGATTCAGAGACGTTCAGGTGGACGCTGTGCACGCAGTGGGTTTGTGTCATAGCTAAGGAGCTCTAAGCTTAGAGCTCAAACTTTTTTTTTCCCCCAGACAACAAATACTTGTAAGATGCCTATTGTGTGCCAGGGACGTTTCTAGGAACTGTGGAGACAGTAAACAAAACAAAGAATTCTATTCTTGTGAAGCTGACATTCTTGAGAGTAAAGACAGATAACAAAGAATAACCATTATGAATAAATAAATTTCAGAGCAAGTTAGATGATAAGGGTATGGACAAGAGCTAAAGCAGATATGGGGGCAGGAATCCTGGGGGAACTGTGGCATTGAATAGGGTGCTCACAGAGGCCCTCGTTGAAAAGATGAACTTAGACCGAAGATGAAGGAACTGAGGGAGGCTGCCCCAGACCTGTCTAGAATCTCTAGCCAGGGACCAGTGAGGCTGTGGCTCCTGATTGGCTGTGTCTAATGCCTAAGAAACTCTGGAAGGGGGCTGCTGGTACACCTGCCCAAATTTTGCCTCAGAAGGAGACATTTTATTATCTAGGTCAGCCAACAAATCTGCCTTCTGCCCAGCAAGGACACACTATCTCTATCTTCCAAGGCTATCTGCTACGCAAGCATCCTTGCAAAAACAGTAGAGAACAGAAGCCATCAAAGCCTCTGCTCAAGAGACATGCGCAAATGCAATGACCCACAGGGGATGGTCTCACAACAGGTACACCCACTCCTATGCTTGATGGCACTCAGGTGACCCAAGTTATCATCAGGCCCATCCAGTCTTCAGTCCCTGCTTGCCAAGGGGTGAGGAGTTCAGCGAGGATCCTGTCCACGGCTCCATCTGACCCTGCTGTAGCTCTGGCTCGTCAGTGCCACATATTCTTCAGGCTACTCAGTGACTCTGCCGTCACAAGTCTCCTCCCTCAAGCTAACAAACATCCCACAGCAAACAGACACAGGTTTTATGCAGGTCTGAAGATTCCTTCCTGGCTTAAACTTCTGTTAGGGATTACAACAGCTTGGTTTCCAAGATCTGCAGAAAATCTTTCCTTCACTGCAGCCACACTCTACTGCCTCTCATGGACCATTTCGGAATAATGGGTGGAGAAGCAACATGGGCCTCGGGTGCCCTGGATATTAAACTGAGGATATTTAGTCTTTCCAGGTGCTCTTCAGAGAGCTGAGATACTCTCTACCACGTTCCTTAGAAATTTAAAAGAGGACTTTTATGGACAAACTGTTAGGTTCCCTTGAACCTTTGGTGAGTAGGTGGCCTCTAACACACTAGTCCTTTGGTCCCCAGTCTTATTCCAGTTCTAGAAGCCTGTGCGTCATTGCTGGAAATTGATTCATATAGTTTCAGAGCTTCTCTAGAAGGCCTCAGCCATGTCCCTAAAAGTTGCATAAAACTTTTGGCATCTGAGTGATTCAGGGATCATGACACCAGACCAGAGGGACTTTACTGAGTGGTGATCTCCTGCTTAAATAAAGAGCAATGTAAGCAACAGTGTGTTTTCTGTGTCTTAACGTAGTATCAAGGGTCTCTGCAGCAAGGGCCCAAAGACGATGGGTGGAATAAAAGCTTATCCAGTGTAGCTGGTGACCAGCTTCATGTCATGGCACTGTTCCATCTTTTGCCATCTCAACTGTTCCACCTTCTTCTCTTCACGGGTAGACACGGTGGACGTGGATGCAAGACAGCAGTCATCAGGCAGATGTGAATATGTAGCCAGTGGCTTACTGGCTACATATTAAGAGAAGGCCTTGCTTAGTCCAGGAGAGTGGGCATTTTTCAGGCTGTCAGCCAGATGGATGCTGAGGAGGAAACCCAGTCCACTGACCTAATAGCTATTGCCCATGTACCCTATAGATATTGACCAGAGGATACAGAATTTATTTGAGTTTCACCATTCCAACACAGAATAATCTGTGTGCAGACTTGGGCTAATAGGATGACTTCCACAAAACAAATCAGACAAGTAGAGGTCCAGAGGAAAATCTATTATTATTACTGTCAATAACAGTCATTTTAGTATACACTACCCTTTAATCTGCAGTCCCTGGAAGACAGTAATCATAGACCCCTATCTGAACTGGAAGGAGGTGATCTTTTGACATAATTGTTTGTGTGTTGAACTGATTTTAATGAGTACTTTTTAAGGCAGGAGTCTTGAAAGCAATCCATTCTAGAGGCAAACATAATGTAGAATTTTTTTATTTTTGTACAGGTTGAGAGAAAAATGTTAAAAAGGTAAACTTCTATGTTTGGGGGATATAGAAGTTTTAGGTTGATGAAAGATAGACTTTTATTTTTTTTGCCCAGAAAGTAGCATTTCATTTCTTTTGCATAAAAAAAAATAGTCTGAGAATATGCAAACAGTACATGTCAACACGGATTAAATTCTGAAACCATGGATGCACACTTCACATTCATGGAGTCATCTAACACTAGCACCAGCAAGTGGTCTTGACATGGTCCTGGACACATTCTGTGTCACTGAATCTAAGCAGGCAGATGGGCCTGCCTGGAAAATAAATAGAAGGAAGAAAGGATGGGAAAGGAGGGAGGGAGGGAAGGAAAGTCATTTCTGAATGCGTTCCCAAGATGGTAATAACTGGCACCAGTCTATGTTGGTGGCCTTAATGGAAGCCTGTAGAGAATCTTCAGCCTGGGAGACTGAGCAGCCACGGACGTTTGATCATGTTTTCTGGTTAATGCCAAATCTCTGACATGAAGACCTGGTTATCTTTCACTTCTATGGAAGTGAGCCTGGAATGGAGTGTTGCAGCCAGGGGAGGATTACATCCCCTTTCAAAAGCAAACCGTGTGAGGGTTGTGGGATAGAGAATGCAGTTCCAACTATTTATGAGTAAATTCTCTCTTAGGATGAGCCACATGGGAGATAAACTGGGGGAAGGGAAACTAAAAACTTAGATTTTAGAGGAACATCACTTTCCTCTGGTTACAGAGGATTGAGACAATGTTTATTAAGATGGTCTATCACAAATTTGGATACCAGGCATAGTGGAGATAGGAAAAGTCATGCAGGGTAGGACGCATGATCGTGCCCAGGCTGGGGCTACATTTCAGACTCCAGAGCAAGGGGTTGGCAAATGTTTCCTGTAATGGGCCAGGTAATAAATATTTTAGGTTTCATAGGCTATACCATCTCTCTTACAACTATTCAGCTCTACCATTGTGCCATGAAAGCAGCCATAGACAGTAGCAAATAGTGTATGTGGTCTTGTTTCAATAAAACTTTATTTAAAAAAACAGCAGGAGGCTGGATTTGGCCCATAGGTCACAGTCAGTTGAACCCTGGCCATGGGCAGGCAAGGGACAGAGCCTTGCGAGGGGCTTTGAATACTTGGGCTGGGCTCTGGTTTCGGTGGAGACCAGCCTGCATTTTGTCCTCTCCAGCTTGAGAGCAGGAGCTGCACCTTCTTTGTGCTTCCTGGAGATTCCTGAGGAGTTCAGGGTGTTACTATGGACTCTGGTTTATTGAATTGAGCTCTGGGTTCAGGCCTGGTGTCTCCAAACAGAAGTACCAATGGGAAGGAGGACCAGGCCCTTGGTAGAAGACGAGAGAAGCAGACATGGAAATAAAGGCAGACAACCTTTTCTTTTTTATTTCGCTTAGACAAAATGCAAAGAGTGTCTCATTAAATTAAAAAAGAAACAAAAAAGAAAATCAAATTGATTCCCCCCCACCCCTTCACTGACGGCACTCATCCTAATTAACAAAAGAAGACCAAATTGAGAACCCGGTTTCTAATGGGAAAGAAAGGTGTGCAAACGTGACTGAAGTTTTCCCCTGCCCGCAAATCGGTGTTCCTTTTAAAATCACAAATAGGCTAATTTCCACCCCCACCCTGTTTTCTTTCTTGCCTCTTGTGTGATAGAACTTCCAGTCAGAAGGTTTAATTAATCCCCCCATGCACTTTTGTAGAAAATCAGTAAAAATGCAATAGCCTGTGAAGATCATAAAACTGGACTTCTTTCCCAAAAAATCAGATGCCCAGGCGGATGGAGCTCACACTCAGACAGAAGAAAAGCAGGAGCGTCTTTGCACTGTCTGTGGTTTCAGTATTTTCTCTCTCTTTTTTTTTTTTTTTTAATATATTTTGGCAATTTTCTTTAATTATAAATATTGGAATTCCGTAAAAAAAAGGTAGCTTTGATTGAATTGTTTGAATTGTATTTACAACCGCTGTCCAGTCATGCTGTCTGTTATACCAGGGTGTAAGATTTTGCGTAGGGATTGTTGCCTTTCAAATGGCCCCGGGAGTCGAGCAGTGATTCTTGGGAGCTGCTCATTTTAGCTGCCTGTCCCAGCTCTGCCCCCTCCCGCTGAGGTAATGTGGCCACGGCCCCCGGCTGCCACGACTGTCCTTCTCTCGTGGAGGAGGCGGAGGAGGCGGCTTCCATCGGGATGGGCTCCAGGACCGTGGGGCGCTTCAGGGTCCGGCTTTTCTGAGGTTCCAAGCATGCTTGTCCTAAGCTCAGGTCCCTGCTGGTGCCTGGACCACCTCGGTTTAACAAAAAGTCCATTCTAAGGTATGGAGGCAAATGTATGAGGTCACCTAGAAGGAAAGACAGGGTAGTTAGTTGGTGTCTTCATTTGGTAAACACCGGCAGAATACCCTGTGTGCATGCGGGTGGCCATGCGGGTTTTAGAGACGAGAATGTCGCTGCACACAGGTGCTTTTCTCAAGATCCTCCATCAGCGCTCACCACAAAGACAGGTGGAATCGTCCTCCTACCTCTTCGCTGGGCACGGGAGGAGCTCATTTTCCGACAGTACTTACTTGTATTAACTTACTTGTACAGAAATGGAGGAATGGAGGTAACAGAATCCTTCAAAACACCATCGTTGAAAGAAAAACATACATCAAAGGCAACAGCGTCCACTGGTTACCAACGGTGATAGACCAAATCCCGCGTGTGATTGGAAGTGCGGGGAGAGCACAGGGTTGGAGGCGAGACCAGGGATGTCAAGGGAAGAATGATGGACAGCTGGCTCTCGTCTTGGCAATTCTATGAAACCTTGTGACCTTGGCCAGCCACTTAGTTATGGGTCTTTATGATGGCTTTGGGTGAAAGTGCCACAGCTTATGGCCTCCTTACCAGGCCCTGCCTACCTGCTAACCTCTGCGTGGCTCTTCTGTTTCAGCCATGCTGTGTATAGAGATGACAGCAGCTTAGACCGGAGTTCTAGCATTTCTACTTCCTGCTCAAGGTCACTCTGGCTTCTGTGGTGCCATGTAAACATAACCTCAGGTCTCCTTCAAGAGCATCTGCTGGCTGGGCATGGTGGCTCATGCCTGTAATCCCAGAACTTTGGGAGGCTGTGGTGGGAGGATGACCTGAGGTCAGGAGTTCAAGACCAGCCAGGCCAATGCGGCGAAACCCCGTCTCTACTAAAAAACACAAAAACTAGCCAGGCATGGTGGTGGGCGCCTGTAGTTCCAGCTACCGGGGAGGCTGAGGCAGGAGAATTGCTTGAACCCAGGATGAGGAGGTTGCAGTGAGCCAAGAGTATGGCACTGCACTCCAGCCTGGGTGACAGAGCAAGACTCAAAAACAAAACAAAACAAAAACAAACCAAACAAAAAAATCCCAAACCAAAACAAAAAAACCAAGAGCATCTGCTGCAGGCAGGGAGGTACCAGTTCTCTGGGATGCTGCAAGCCAATGACAAGCATGACAGGGCTTTCCTCATGGCCGTCCCCGCCCAGTGCGAGATCTCCCTAACAGGCATCCTTTGCTCAGGGATGCCCCATCAGCCTCACTGCAGCCTTCTCAGAGGTGCACTGCAGCCTGAGGTGCCTCCAACCAATCCCTCCTTCCCTTTCTCCTCTCACAGGTGTCAGACCTCTGTTATGGTCCCTGGACTCTCCTGGCCACCTCCTGCTTCCTCTTGCTTCGTTCTTCACAAGAATTTCCCCAATAAATTCCTTGCCTGTCTAATCTGTCTTCATAGGTGCTTCTCAGAAAACCTGAACTGCCACAGCTTCTTTCACCATCAACTACTGAAAGGTCAACTCTGACCTCTCATTGCCAAATTCTCTGGTTTCCTCTTGGTCCTCTTCCTACCTGCATTACTATAGCATTTGATGCTGTTGATATTTTTATTGCTGGCCTTCTCAGCTGCCAGGACACTGTGGTCTTCCAGATCTCTGCCTACATCTCTGGCCATCCCTTCTCACTTTCCTTGACTGGATCCTTTTCTCTGTCTTTCCTCTAAATGTTACAGAGTATTCCCAGTGGCCTGCTCTCAGCCCTCTCTCGAAAGGCTTGGCTGCTTTCCTCATCTCTTTATAAATAGCTTTCCCATCTATCTTTTCCATTTTGCTCTTTCTCCTGAGCCCTAAATGTGACTTTCAGGTGCTTTGCTAGGCATTTCCACACGAGTGTCCGTCTGGAATTCTGAATAACACAGTCTACCAATCCAGTTAATAAAGGCCAACTCCATCCCCTCCCAATCCCAAATGCTGCTCTTCTCCCGTGTGCTCTATCTTGTGTAACATTATCACCATCCTTCCATCCTTGAAACCTCAGAGGCGACACTGACACCTTTCTCTCCAGGTTAATTCTACTGGCAAAATCTCTCTTGACTCCTTATTTTTTTTTAAAAAAACAAGAGATAAAGTCTTGCTCTGTTGCCCAGACTGGAGTGCAGTGGTGCATTCATGGCTCACTGCAGCCTCAAACTGCTGGGCTCAAGCAACCCTTCCACCTCAGCCTCCAGAATAGCTAGGGCTACAGGTACACATCGCCATGCCTGGATAATTATTAATTTTTAAAATATTTTGGAGACACAAGGTCTTTCTTAGTTGCCTAGGCTGGTCTCAAACTCTTGGCCTCAAGCAATGCACCTGCCTCAATTTCTCAAAGCACTGGGATTACAGGCATGAGCCACCTGGCCTTGACTCCTTCTCATTCCCATCTTCAGGGCCCTGTTTCAAGGCTTTAAAACATCCCATCACCCCCTTGCAATGCATGAGCACAATTAGGGCCCAGTCACCAAGTCCACTTTGCCACCAACACTGCCTGGCTTGAGCTGGACTGACGCTGCGTCTGAGTTTCTGCTGTTTTGGTATAGGCAGTGTGTATTCTCCAGCCCAGTGCTTTCCACTTTTATCTTTTTGAGGTATAGGCAGACAAGGGGTATTTGTGCAGCAACACTGGGATGAGCCCAAGGAGTTGCTTCTGGCCACCTTGAGGTCTGAAGGACTCACCGTCTTGGCACACCTGTAACTCATGTCATACCAGGTGCAAAACTCTGGCTAGAGAATGGGCTGGTGGTATGTGGTCCTGGAGCGAGGGCCCAGGGAAAAGGATGTGCAGGGAGAGAGAGATGATAATGGTCTGAGCTCAGGAGAAGCTGTGGGATGTGAGAGAGGGAATTAAATTGTGATACAAAGGGGGCCCAAGGAAGGCGGCTTCAGAGTCAATGACAAGTGGGAGTGGTGAGAGAGGGGAAGGGGTTAGGGGCAACTCCTTCCCAGGCTCTAAGCTCAGGAAACTCTGTGGACAGTGAAACCACTAACTGTGAAAGGGTGTATAGGGGAAAGATTGCACTTTGATGACAAAAGATGAAAGGTTTAGTTTCAGACCTGCTGAGTTTGATGCAGCTGGGGACATTCAAGACAAGATATCTAGTAGGTATTTTTATCATAGAAACGTAGCACTAGAATGACTCATTGCTCATTTTCTGAATCTAAAGTAACCGAATATTCTCGTTTCTTTTGCTTCAAAATATTCCCTGCTTTCCTTAGGTTACTGTATGCTAACAATAGTTAATTGAGCCTTCCTCATCCAGCCCCTTTGGGCCTGTAGGCCCTGTTGGTGCAGGCTGAGGGGATCTGAGACCACCTGAGCCAAGCGAGGGCTGTCATTAGCCAGCTGCCCTGCTAGCGGGGCAACGGAAGTGATGTGTGTTTAGATAGTGCTTAAAGCCTGAACCTTAGGAAACACTTCAAGTTTACCCACAGAAAAAGAATAATCAGCATAACAGAAGGAAAGGACTATTCAAGAGTATAAGGGAACTGGCCTGTAATCTCAGCACTTTGGGAGGCCGAGGCAATGGATCACCTGAGGTCAGGTGTTCGAGACCAGCCAGGCCAACATGGTGAAACCCTGTCTCTACTAAAAATAGAAAAATCAGCTGGACGTGGTGGTACACGCATGTAATCCCAGCTACTCAGAAGGCTGAGGCAGGAGAATCGTTTGAACCCGGGCATCAGAGGTTGCTGCACCACTGCACTCTAGCCTGGGCAACAGGGATAAAACTCCATTTCAAAAAAAAAAAAAAAGAGTATAAGAGAACTAAAAATAAATATGGCCAAGTCAAGCTGTAAAAATGCATTTTATACAATGTAAATGAGCACACAAATTTTCAAAATGTTATTACCCTTCCTGAAAACCTTTTTCCCCCAACAACAGGAGTAATGACCTTATTTTTGGGAAATCCACCAAATGATTTCTTTGTCCTTGTATTATTACATTGTTGCACCCCTTGGTATGTATGATTCAAAATTCCATTTAGCTTTTTCAGGATGTCTTTATTCTATTAGGTGATGATGAGTAATTATATGATTTCATTGGGAATGGCAGCATGTAATTCACTAAATGACCCGGTGACACTGGATTGGGCTCACTGAAATTAAAGGCAATTCTAATTCAACGTTGGCTTCCTACTATCACCTGGATCCAAGGGAAGCTCAGTAATAAATACCTAGACAATAAATGGGCCATAACATTCTTTTTTTTTTTTAGATGGAGTTTTGCTCTTGTTGCCCAGGCTGGGGTGCAACGGCGCGATCTTGGTTCACTGCAACCTCCACCTCCCACCTCCCGGTTCAAGCGATTCGTCCCCCTCAGCCTCCCAAGTAGCTGGGATTACAGGCATGCACCACCACACCTGGTTAATTTTTGTATTTTTAGTAGAGATGGGGTTTCTCCATGTTGGTCAGGCTGGTCTCATATTCCTGACCTCTGGTGATCCGCCCGCCTCAGCCTCCTAAAGTGCTGGGATTACAGGTGCAAGCCACTGCACCTGGTCCATAATATTCTTATAGGAAGAAATTACATAATTTGGCATTCTTGTAAAAAGGGTTTTGGTAACTTGATGCATCTGAACTCTGGCTTATAAAAATATAATGGCATGAGGCCTACCCATTATAGACACTAATGTGGAGGGTTCAGGAATATCTTGCCATCTAGAATAGCTTTGTTCCTGAAAGATGAAATAATTTGATTTTTTAAAACTTTATGAAACTTCATGGCATTGAAAATTACTTATGTTCCTTTATGGTAGCTATTCTTCAGTCTTCTCTAACTAGGTGTTAATTATTTGCAAAAAAAAAGTGATGAAAACATTAACAGAGTTGTCATTAAGAAATAAACTGAATAATTCTTTTGAAATGAGAACATCCTTTTGTATGTGAATCAATACATCTTAATTGACCAATCTTGCAATTTGTAGTTTTATATAATCAATCTCCAGAAAGTGATGTCTTTATTC